GCATCCTTTCAGCTGCATTAACTAATACAAAATACACTTATATAATACAAAGAAATACAAAGATAATGATCAGAAATACTCCTTTGATAACCATAAGATTATTAAAAGAGATGTTCACTTAAAGCTGTGCAAAGCCAGTTTGGGGGTGTGCCTGTCAGGAAGGAGAAGTGGGAATAACTCACAGGGAAGGAGAAATTATCTAATAAATGTAAACATTGGCAACAACAAAAAGCTAACTGAATTCCATGGTAATTTCCACCAAGTAACAAATGAAAACAATTGGGCCCTACCAACGGGGGTGACAAACTGTTCTGTAGTTCCCAGAATATTTGTATGTGCTAAAAATAAGCACAGCTTACTTTAATTGCACGAGAAACTACAGGCTGAGGGTGAGTAAAAGGTCATAAAAAGGTGCTGGCTTGGAGGGAGAAAAAAGCACCAGAGCAGGCACATGAGAATTCAAAGTTGTGACAAAGATGTGTATGTGAGATGCTCTGCAGAGCTAAGCTAATAGAGTTGTTTTAATTACAAGATCAAAGTTAGAGGAATAATACAGCTGAGGTAGTTTTAAAGGTTAAAAAAGCCCAGATACTGTGGGGTTCCCCAGCAGTGCAAACATACTGGGTTTGGAATTATAAAAGTGAAAATTTACAGGAAAAAAAACTCTTATAAATTGCCCTGACTTCCACTCTTTTCATGTCAATTCCATATGAATTAGATAGAAACAAGACACCTTTTCTCCTCATAATTGTATAATTATATAATCTTTCATCTGTTTGTAACAACAAAGCTAAACTTACAGGTTTGATTGATTCAGCCAAATAGAAAAAATCCCCAACTCCAGTGAAATCTCGTAGTAAGTCACATCACCCTGCACATTCTTCTGTGTGCACAAAGCCAGGTCCTGCTCTGCTCCTGTTGGGACGTTCTCCAGTTGGTTTGAGGATTTCAAGCCCAGAAATGCAAACATAAATTGCAAAACCACACAGAGGGCCTGGGCCTTGCTGGGCTTTCACTGGTTTGAGCAAGACTTTTTCTTAGGAAGGAACTGTCTTAATTTCCTGGGCTTCTCATTAACATGGGTAAAACTGAACTTGATGAATAGCTTCCAGAGTCTTGAGTTTCAGAAAAGGATTTCCTCATGAGCACGTATGGCCTGCTGTATAAATCCACAGTTCATCATTCATAAGAGGTGGGACCTTCTCTGTATAAATAAATAAATAATTTTCTTCTGTTTTCCAGCTTTCTGAATTGAAGCAGGGATCCTGTGGGTTGAAATAAACCCTGATAATACAGGTAAGAACTTCATTTCTGTCCTGGGATACACACCCTGCCATCACTCTTCCCTTTCCCAATCTCAGGGGTTTGGACATCTCTCCAGAGGGATCTATTTTGTGATGTTGTATGCACTGAGATTTGTTTTCCCCTGATGTTTTTTCTTCCCAAGTGGTATCTCTGGAGTGGCTGGAAAACCCACGTGCACATTTTGTGTGTTGCACATAGGTTGTGATGTGTAACTAAATTCCTTTTGCCAATGCCACAAGAGGAAAGTGTATCACTGACTGGTCCTTTGCTTCAGAAAAGAGGCTCATAATGGAAAAATACTGCTATTAAAATTACAGGCTTGAGCACTGTTATAGCCCAAAGTGGCAGAAACAAGCAATGAGAAGGAAAGATGTTCCTTCCTGTGTGCTCTGTGGCTTGACCAGCTGCATAAGGAACAGAAAGGGAGAGTCACCATCCACTCTGGTGCTCAAGCACAGCCAGGGGAAGAAAATGTGCCCAGTAAAAAGGGACTCTCTCTTGGAAGAGAGCAGGGACAGGCCTGCCTGAAGCACAGCTTAAATATTGGATGAGTTTTTAATACAAAATAGGAAGTGATTCTTGAAGATCGTAAAGACTGATGGAGGAGTCAGAGTAAATCCAAGTCTTTTGGCATACGTGGAAATGCTGTTTGAATTTCTTACCCCACTACGTGAGCAACGAGACTTCACACTTCTAAGGCATTTTTTCTCCAGTGTTTCGTGATTGTTTGACCAACTTTACAACATGTTGGGTATGGAATCATAGAATTGTTAGGCTGGAAAAGACCTTCAAGATCATCGAGTCCAACCACTCCCCAGCACTGCCAAGGCCACCATTAACCCATGTCCCAGGTGCCACATCCACAGGAGAAGATAAACAGGTTCCTTTAGTAGAAACAAAGATCTGCCTAAAATGTGCCAGTGTTTCAATTCTAGTTCTTTTAGGAAGACTTTACAAGAATAGTAAAAAGCAGGAACAACCTATAATGTAATTTTTAAGAGACCTGTCAGCGTAGTTTCTGTTTCAATGCCAGCTAGAGATGGGGGCATAAAATGTTTCTATAGCCTGGAAAAGGGGACTCCCAATACACTGCATGAGGGATTTAGGCATCACTGGTGTATTTGGCACAAAATATCAAATTGTGTATGGACTTCACAGCTGCAGACACCTGGTTTTCAAGACATCTCTGATTCCAAGTTGATGGTATGACATATACTATATATGACTGGCTTGTTTTTATATAAACACTGTAAAAGTAGAGAGAGTCACCTAAGAGAAGGATGGTATTTGTTATTCAATAAAATGGAATAAAAAGCCTGTCATTGCTCATAAATATGGTTTGCTCTTCCTCACTGGTGTCCTATTGGATCATATCATATTATAGTAATTAAACATGCTATAACTCAGATTATTAGTATAATCACCGGCTTTAATAGGCACACTTAATAATAAAGTCTTCTTGAAAAAATTATTCCTTTAAGATTCAGGCAGCTGAAAGTCTAGTCATAGTTATATCATAAACATCCATTTCCAAGGTCAGTCACACTAATAAAACGAGTCATCTACAAGGAGGTTTTATCCATGTGAGCCTGAAAATGGCACAATGCTGGTATTTAGCAAAAATAGGGAAAGGAGGTTGTATGTGAATTAGGAGAAAAATCAGATGCCCTTGAAAACTGAAGAATAAATGGAATGAATTGATTTTTGTCTTTACAGAAGGGAGACATTAGTTTTCAGAAATTATCACGTTTCTGCCTTCAGTGTATACCAGGAGAAAACACACTGCCTGCTATGGCCGTGATTATTTTCCTGGAAGCAGCTCTCGGTCAGCTTCAAACTGGGAAAAGTGATAAGAGCAATAACAAATGGAAAGTACCTCAAGAATGTATTTTGATATTTTGAGTTGGGAATGACCTTGGGTGTTGCCTGTTGTTACATTCATACAGTGACTAACATTGACACTGGAACATTCAGAAACAAATACTTCATTAGCCAACTGGATGAACAGGTTTGTGGTGCCAGCACTGCTGCCGTGGCACAGCAGTAATTACCAGCTCCCTGTGTTTGGTTTGAAAGAGAGACCAGGAGTGCAGGGCCTGTGTTGGACTGACCGTACCTTGGAGCTCTGCAGGGGGTGAGTGGTGTGGCTGAGCTCCCTCAGGAACACCCTGACCAGGCCATGTGTGCAGGAGCTGGGGATCTCTGCTCCCCCAGGCCACTCTGCCAGCCAGCCTGGACACGTTTGCCCTTTCAAGGAAGAACAGGGAGGCTTGTAAATCAAACGGCTCGTGGTTCCTCACGTGGAGGCCACAGAGAGCCCTTCCCCTTGTACAGGTGTGAAGGGAAGCTCTGAGCCCACTCTGTTAAATTTTCATTTAATGGAACGAAACCTCCCTCTACCAAGGCAGGAAAGTAGCTTTTGGCCAGTCCAGTAGTATTGGTGAATATAATTGTTAATTTTTGAGGCCTTCATATCTGAGCACTGAGACTGCTACAGGGAGCAACTGCAGAGTATTGGTGATGCATGAGGATTCCCAGACAAAATTCATCCATTAAACAGAGTTATTAGAATACACTGGAATACAGGCCAGGCATTCCCAAACTGGGACATGCTAGGGTTAAGTTTTGTTTATACAACCTTTATTTAGGAATCTTGTGCACAGAATTACAATAGCCTTCAGTGAAGTAATTCAATGCTACTTTTCCCAGCCTCCTTGGAGTCAATTGTGTGCTAATGGAATGTTTACCTTGTTGGAAAAGCTGGGAGATGCACAAGGAGGAAGGACACTGCAGGAAAGGGAAAGGACAATTTCATGGCTCAGAGAACTGAACTTTGTCCTGGGTAACCGAATTCTGTCCGTGTTTGTGTCACAGATCTCTGTGATACCACACAGGTCACATAACCCAAGATTTTCCCAGGGGGTGAATCGTGCGTGTGATTCGTTTTGTAAGGTTCTGTATTTGAGACACTCAGAAGTGAGGAATGACCATAATTGTAGGCAAGTTCCGACCCCGGAGCATTGGAGCACTGGAGTTATCAGAAAAGAGGTCACAGGGACTCCTTCTAAGCCAAGGGCCATCCTTGGAAATTGTTGAATCAGTTTTTTTAAGTTGTCTCAGAGTTAACTGATCATGTGTTTTATCTTGAAAAATGTATGAAAACTGTTAAAATTTGGTAGATTCACAAGAAACCCAGCACAGAGGCTTCAAGAGGAAAACACCAGTAAATAATCCATGGTACTCTGTCACTCTTTGGACTGCCCCTGGATAGGTAGGGCAGCAGTGGGAGAGCTGGCAAAGTGAGGAGGACGGAGAAACTTCTGTCTTTCCAGTTTTAAAAGGTGTGACATTGATACAGCACAGACTAAACAAGGAGGATTTAGAGTGTAACAAACTGCTCCCACCCGTGTCTGTGCTGATCATTTGTTTCGTGGGGGCTGCTCAAGGGCACTTTCTGCCAATACAGAATCTAAAAAGCCTTCAGATGCCTTGCCTGCAGCTCCAGGCCTTGTTAAGCTTTATATGTTCCCCCATCCCCCTGTTGGACCTATAGCTCCTGACTCTTTGATTCTGAAAAGTCCTTTGAAATTTGCCCCACCCCAGAGCTGGGAGGGAAATTGTGCCAAGCCCTGGGCACACACCCAGCTCCCAGGCTGTGACTTCACCCTGGAGTCAGCCCTGAGCGCAGGGTGTGCTCCTGACCTCGGCACCACCGCACCTCGGGACCGCCTGACACACTTGTTATATTGTTCTTGCTCCTCCCCAGCTCCACCTCTCTAAAAAATCCTGAGTGCAGGCTCAGCTGACAGCAGCAGCTGCTTCCAGTGGCACTGGGGAGGTGGGACAGCTGAGGAGAGTTACCTGGGACTGTGCAGTACAGACCAGGAGGCCTCTGTACTCCTGGAGTTGTCCACTCTGCTGTGTGCATTTCACAAGGTTTCATGGCAGCCTGCAGCTCTCCTAAATTTTGCTTTGTTTCACTTGCTTTTTAGAGAAAAACTTGATAGAAAAATTACTTCCAAATAATTATTGCAAAGTACTTGGAGACTGATCAAATGTAATGCAAGTCAGCAATTTTGTATGTATTGCAGTACAAGTGGAAACACAGACTCTTTGGTAATACTAAACTTGTCAAAATCAAATCTGAAACCCCTGGGTTGTTTTTCTATTTGACATCTCTCTGGGTTTTACACAGAAAATCAGGGGGAAACGTACTGCTGGAAAAAGGGTGAGTGAAAACTGATAAAAGGTGGTAAGCAGAGCCAGGGGATTCCCTCTGTACAAACCAGCCTTCCCTCCGTTACATCTCTGAGAACAAGACCACTGTTCATATGTCATGCCCTTACTTTTGTGGTGCCCCTGAAAATAAGCAATTTATTTCGGAAGCAGTAGAAAAGAGGATACTGAGGTAAAAACTGTCTCTAACTGGTCACTGGCTTCCCCATCTAGACTAAGTTTAAAAAAACTAAAATCACATCCAGTTAAAGAAGTAACTTCAGAATGTTCTAAAACACAATCCAGCTTATTTTCATTATTATCTCCTAGAAAGCTACTGGATTAACCAGGTCAACATTTTGCACTTGCATTTGGAGTGTGACTGGCTGAGGGCAGTAATTCTATATGTGAATAGTGAGGAGGCAGAGCCCCAGTACGTGCTGGGACAGTGGCCCTGCAGGAGGACACCCGGAGAGTGCCAGGGCCCCTTCACCCTGTTCCTGCCCTGGAGAACGGGATGTGTGAATTCCAACAGCTCAGATTTCAAGTTAACTCCGTATTTATACTCCTGGTGCTCATCTGTTCCACCAAGAAAAGATCAGCTGAAAAATGTGATCCCTGTTAATAGGAGCTAAAAGACTCATTCAGCTCGTCAAGTAAAGCAGGCAGAAAGCTGCTGGCAGGAGCAACAGCTGTATGGCTGACCTTTCCCCATTGCCCCCTTCCCTCTGCACTCAGGACCAGGCTCAGGCATTCCTGGGAGCCATGCATTTGGAAAGAGAGGGTTATTTTTGTTCACCGTGTGGTTTCTCAGCACAGAGGGTCTTTAGGAATATTTCCTTTCACGTCAGTCCCTTTAAGCATTTTACAGAGCATAGTCTGTTCTGGGAAGTCAGTAAATTTGACTTCATGTTTTGAAGTTTTATCATGACTCGAATATAACGTGCAGAAGGAGCCAGCAGGGTGATGAATAAAGCAAATGCAGGCTGGGTGTCCTGCTAAAGCCATTACCAGAGTATTTTACATTTTCCATGCACCTAAATTAAACCTTTTATACAAGCAAAGAAACCCAAAACCATCTGGCACTAGACTTTGGGATTTCATAATGCTTTTTAATGCAAACCATGTGAGCAGGATGTGCAAAATGTCTGTGTCAGTGCATTGAATTAATACATGTAAAGACCATGAACTTTGCAATAGTTTTGTCCAGTTTTCCTATGTCCAGTCAATGAATTCCCTGTCCCAATGCTGTTCAGCAGGGATAAGTTCTGCACTGTCACATGTCCTTGCCTGACACTGGTCACTTCACTGTTCCTGAACACAGAGGGAAAACGAGGATCAGAGAGGAGCCCGAACTATGGAGCCAGATGTGCAACTTCAGCATAAAGCTAAACACATGAGTTTTTTCCATCTTGTTACTGAATGACAGTAAGAATTTTGTTATTATGGGTCATCAAAGACCTATTTGGCCTTCAGTATGGAAGAGATGCTTCATCCTTTGCCTAGCTGTTCTGAAGTGTTTTCCCACCCTACAGAGCAGTGTAATAAGCAATAGGAATAACTGTGACAAAGGGAACTCAGAATCACTTGGGATTCAGGGTCCCCCTCTCCTCCTCTCGGAGCTGAACCCTGCAATGAGTCACCTCGGGGTGATGAGACAAGCCCTGGGCCTCTGTAACGGAGCCCAGTGTTTCCAGAAGCAGCAGCTTGCCCCCAGACAGACTGTTTACATGTCTAACAAGCAGAAACTCTGTCTTTCCTGACTGTGCCTCTCCAAAATGTGCTACAAAGGGGTTTGCCACATACACTTTACCTTTCCAGACTCCCTGAGCTCCCAGCCACTTATGTGGGGGTTCTTTATTCTTCTCTACAGGTTTTCTTTGAGGGCATTGCCAGAAGTGCTCTGTACTCCTCACACTCCTCTCAGGGCCCCAAGGACACACACAGGCTGTGCTGGCCCTGACCAGCCTCTCCTCTTCTTTCCAGCTTTGAAGACAACAGAACTGAAAACAGACTTGGACAAAATCTTCAGTGATAATGATTTCAGAACTCTGATTATTCCAGCAGCTCTGATGCAAACCAGGAACCCTTTATCCTGCAGTGATTATTTCGTTAGTCCCATCCTCTCCTTGAGAGCTGCTTCCTGTGCCACCACCTTTGTCTTTTCCCCAAATACCTTTCTATGGATGATCTGAGATGCAAAGCCCATCCAGACTTAGGGGCACAGCAGCCCTCTTCCCCACTGCACAAGTGTTATGTGGTGCTTTTGCTCTTCCCTTCCCGTGTCCTGAATGTCTCTGCCTCTGGAGAAACTTGGTTCCATTCCTCAGTCATTCCTCAGTCTCTGAGAGCACCGTGCTCTCATGGAACAGGGGATCCTAAAAAGATAGGATTGAGGCATCTCTGCTAAGAAGGAACTGAGAGATGCCAGATTCCAGCTTGCACTTGGAAATGCACACAATATGGAAAGGGCGAATCATGGAATCACAGACTGCTCTGGGTTGGACAGGACCTTAAAGTCCATCCAGTTCCATCCCCTGCCATGGGCAGGGACACCTTCCACTGTCCCAGGTTGCTCCAAGCCGCATCCAACCTGGCCTTGGACACTTCCAGGGAGCCAGGGGCAGCCACAGCTTCTGTGGGCAACCTGTGCCAGAGCCTCCCCACCCTCATAGGGAAGAATTTCTTCCTAATATCCAAGCTAACCCTACTCTGTCAGTGTGAAGCCATTCCTCTTGTCCTGTCACGCCAGACCCTTGTAAATTGTCTCTTCCATCTTTTCTGTAGTTTCCCTTCAGGTGCTGGAAGGCCCCAATTTGGTCACCCCAGAGCCTTTTTTTTTCCAGGCTGAACAATCCCAGTTCTCTCAGCCTTTCCTTGTAGCAGAGGGGCTCCATCCCTCTGATCATCTCACTGTCCTTGACTGTAAGACAGAGCTTTACCCTGGCAGGGTGTAGCATGAGAGAAGAGGACTCATCTGGCACCAAATCTTTTTAGGCAACATTTCGAAGGAGAAAACCTTCTAATAATGTCAGTAAAGTAATCCCAGCAATTACATTAATCTGGGATTGCTGGACTTGGGCCATTGTGGCAGCTCCAAGCCTCCACTGAGCATGTTGGCAATCACCTGCGGGTTGCTCAGGTGATCTGTGGGGCAAGCAGCAGATAAAGGCAGGGATGGATGTCGTGTAGCTGTGCTTCTCCTGCAGCCTTAGGCAGTTGTTTCCCATCTGTGAGAGGCACAGCTCCCTCCCCTGCAGGCCCTGGGTGGTGTTTCCATCCTCAGTATCCAAAGGGGCAGGGCTGGGAAGGCCACATGGATCACTGTGATCCTGTGCCTCAGCACTGCCGTGGGGCAAAGGCCTGGATGCTCAGTGTCTCTTTGGCATCCAGCTGTCCAGGAGTTTCTCTGTCACCAGAGGATGCCAAGGGGCACTCAGTTTGGAAATGTAGTTTCTGGACTGTCTCAAATCTGCAAACCTCATTCCTCTGGACCTTCTCTCCTCATCCCCACCTCGACCAAGCCCCTCCCCAATTCCTGATCACCCATCCTTGCCAGCTTTCCTTTCCTGGTACCCTCCCAGAGCCCAGGCTGCGCCAGCAGTGGTAGTGTACCCACAGTAATAGATGGTGTTAGGAGACTGTACTTCCCAGCACTGGAAGGGTGTGGGGCTGCTGGAGCAGGTCCAGAGGAGGCCACAGAGATATCCCCTGAGCTGGAGCTCCTCTGCTCTGGAGCCAGGCTGGGTGAGCTGGGGGGGGGGGGGTTCACCTGAAGAAGAGAAGGCTCCAGGGAGACCTGAGAGCCCCTTCCAGAGCCTAAAGGGTCTCCAGGAGAGCTGGAGAGGGACTTGGGACAAGGGATGGACAGTGACAGGGAATGGCTTCCCACTGCCAGAGGGCAGGGATAGATGGGATATTGGGAAGGAATTCTTTCCTGTGAGGGTGGGGAGGCCCTGGCACAGGTTGCCCAGAGAAGCTGTGGCTGCCCCTGGCTCCCTGGAAGTGTCCAAGGCCACGCTGGATGGGGCTTGGAACAACCTGGTCTAGTGGAAGGTGTCCCTGACCAGGCAAGGGATGGAATGGGGTGGGATTTAAGGTCCCTTCCAACCCAAACCCATCTGTGACTGTGATTCTATACTAGTAGTCTAGTACATTATTATTAATATATTATTAATAAAGTGATTTTACCAGCAATGTTTACTGATAATTTAGTAGTAACTTTATTCCAAAGTGATTATAAATTCTATTTTTCAAAGTACCAACTTTAGTATTTTGCAATTCTCTTTTTTCTAAAGCTGTGTTCATTTACCTTTAAATACCAAATTAAGGGCCGGTTTACTGTCCCTGCTGCCAGGCCGTGGCTCAGGGCAGCCCAATTAATCCATTTGAGGGCCTTTCTCGTGCGCTCCCGACACTGCGAATCTCCGCGTCCGCCACGAGAGGGAGGACGTGCCATGCGGGACACGGGGATCGCACCAGAGAAGGTTCCAGTTTACGGGGAAGTTGCACTAGTTTATGCTGAGATTCTATTTTAAATCAATTCAGCCAAAATCGGTGCAAGATGTTGGCTGACATTTGTAGTCAAGTGTAAGAATAGCTTATTTTGGGTTGCCATAAACAGATTCCACGTTGACATAAACTAAACTAAGAGTCTTTACAGAAGTGTTTATACCAGTTTAACTGGGTTGGTTGAAACCTCCGTGGAAGATTAACCAAGTGGGACCTTTGTGTTTGGATAAACACTGAGCTTGAAATGCACCAATTTAGCTTGGAATAGGAATGAAAACCTCTGGTTTATCTTCAAAAGTAAACCGTGCACTATATTCATCATTAGCTTCACAGAAAGTCCCTCTTAAAGAAGAGACTCCTCATCTGTATTTGATTGTTGCTATTTGAATATTTTGCATTTATTTTTGGTGCTGATTCTGCTTCATCCAGACAATCTCTTACCACTGGGGCATTCTGGGAATGCAGGGACACATCCGAAGACAAGGGAAAAAAGATGTTCTAGCACTTGGCTGCTTGAGAACTTTGCATTTAAAGCCCAATTTGTAGCAATTTCTGGTGGCTTTCTATAAAAAATATCCTCAGGATGTGTTTCAGTGAGGTGCTGAGGTGTTGCTGTTTGTTTGCTCAGAGACAGGGGGAAATCACTTTTTGGAGTGGCTCAGTTTTGAAAGGTCTGGGTCTGTACCACGTCATTGTTTCCATCCCTTGCTCCTCTCAGTTAAGATCACCGTGTTCCTCCCTTTCCCACACTTCCTCCTAGGCTTTGTAATCTGCGTTGCCCCAAGGAAATGCAGCTGTCAGGATGGTTCAGAGATCAAAATTCAGCCTTTAATGTAGCTAAGGCTTGATCCATTAACTACTTTGAAGATTATGACCAAAGCCTTAAACTGGCATCTGAAATATGAAACTTCAGCAGGAGTTAATGAGGCCCAGGAAAGCTGCTCGGGAGGCAGCTCTTGTGTCCCACACGGTGCCAGAGAGACAAAAGAACCAGCACTGCAGCAGGAGTGAGGAGAGGGGCAAAGCAGAGCCTGAGATGCTCCAAAGCAAGGTTAAAAATTAGTAATTTTAACAGTAAGAAGGGGAGTTTTGGCTACAGTATTAGACAGACATGGAAGGTAGCAAAGTCTGAAGACAAGAGTGACTGCCCGAGCTCAGATTCACAAGAAGTCAGGCAGCAGCATTCCTTGTGTTCACGAGTTACTCTGAGCAATGAAAAATACAGAGGGAGGTTGCCCTGGAAGCAAAAGGATGGACAGTGTCATTCCCAGGCTGCACAGGAGACACGTGGCAAAGGGAGACTCTAATGATGTGAGTGATGATAATTCAGTTTATACTCTATGGGTCATGTCAGCCAAGAGTAAATGGAGGAAAATAACCCAGACTGTGACAACCATGTGTTCAGATCTGCAAGTTTCTTTTGAGGGGAAAAAAAAGAACTTCAGTACTTAAAACTACTGTTAAAAATAAGTTGTACCTCCTTGATGACCAGTGCAGCACTGAAGAGCCAAAGGTGCACCTACTGTTTTGCTGAGCTGCAGGAGAAAATGAGCAAGAAGGAGCCATCCACGGTATCAGTTAAACAGGAGTCACTTCACATCAGCATAAAGAGAGTTGCTAAGATTAAGGATTGACCAGAAATAGTCCAGTAAGTTTCCACTGAATCAACATTTTCTGATGGAAAACTGTCCTGGCTGGAAAAATTTCAGCAATCTTGACTTGTTACATTTAAAGTCCCAGCACTTCTCCATTCTAGAAATACCAAATGCTCAGGACTGCCAGCTTTTCAAGTTTGTTATCATTCTAAATGTAATTATGTTGTGACTCATTGGAACAGGCCAAATGGCAGCAAATGTAAAGAGAGAAAACTTGGAGATTTAGATATTAGAATTGTCCCATTCAGCCTATACTTCATGGAGACTCCCACTGCAAAAATACCTTAAAATTTGGTTTTCAAACACTTACCACTTGATATGGTTTGAAGCTGGCTCCCTGCCAAGTCTCCAGACCTTACCACCAGAAGTGTCCCCCCCCCCCCCAAACCTCAGGGAGAAGAGGGAGAAAAACAACCAACTAAGAAAACCCAAAACGAGAGAGACAGCTAAAGTGATATATATAAATATATTTACACTTATGTTACAAATGAAATATATACAATTTAAAATATATACAATTTCACAAGGGAAGGGGAAGGGGGAAGGGAAAGGGAACAAAACCAAAATAAAATATCTATCTATCTATCTATCTATCTCTATATCTCCCAATCAGTAGCCCGAGATCTAGTAACTAAAGAGTTAGCAAAGAAAATATCCCACCATTCTCCTTGGGACAACCGAGAGTCGCTCCGGGACGATCGCCGGCAACCTCCGCCTCCCAAGGTCGACAAGGCCTCACCAGGCCTCGCTCCCCAACACGGCAGACTCAACAGCAGGGAACCTGCACCTCCAAACTGCCGGAAGGAAAGAGAATGAAGGCCTTCCCTCCTTTCTTCTTATAGTCTGGTTTACGTAAAAATCGTAGGGAATACTGGGTAAATCTGGACCCTTCCTTGGTTACAAACTGGTCACCAAGGAAGGCCTAACCCAAACCACCACACCACTACTTGTACAATTCACAGTAAAGTCACCACATCTTGGTTGTACTCTTGCCCTCTGAGTGAACATACTTCCATCTGAATGTTAAAGAGGACAGCCTGAAAAGAAAGACAATTAGTCACATTTTGTATTTTAAACTGGGTGATATTCATGAATAAACAAGTTTTTACCAGCTGACACAGTGAAAATGGTGATGACCTTGTTCATACAACTACTCCTAAATTATCCTTCAGCCTTCCCCACCAAGTCAGGCAGGATTCAAAAAACAATGAATTGGAGGTGGCAGGTCATCACCCCATTGATAATGAGAATTTCTTTGTGATAGGAGGAGTGCTGGACCTGAGGTCCAAGGAATTTCTTTCTAGTTCTGTGCCCTAATCTGGGCAACACTATAGATTCACTCAATCTCTGAGTTATAGTGAACTAATCCCAGCAGAGTTAGTTCTCAGCAGGTTGTCAGTGCCAGAACAATTACATCACATCCAGGCACTCTGTAACCTTCTGTGAGGGGACAGCTCACAGATGACTTCCAAGAAATGAAGCTCTAATTTAGAATTAGATATTAACTGCTTGCTCTGGTACTTTTGTTCTGAGCAGGTATCCATTTGGCCTCATTGTTTGGCAGCTCTGCTTCACTCCCTGCAGCTGGAAGTGAAATGTGAAATGCAGCTTGATTTTTTATAGTGACTTTTGGGGGGTCTTGCTGCTTTCCTCTGGCTGAGGTTTAGCTAAAACGTATAAACCTCTGTGCTTGTTTCCCAGGCCTCATCCCACAGTTCGTTACAAACACACAACCTTTGGGCCATGAACTCCACAGCTCAATAAGCACAACTGTAACAATGTCCTTGATGCACAGCACCAGAGCAGCACAGCTGGTTGTGCCATGGCCATGACTCAGCCAGGGCACAGTCACACAGGCTCCAGGAACACCCCAAACTGTGTCCTCCTCCATCCCCATGTGCAGCTGTGCTCACTAATGAACTGCAGCACTTCTCATCCCCGCAAGCCAGAGACGGTTTGTGGTTTATGGATTGCAAGCACTTGGCTGCAGGAACTTCCACATGTTCTTTATATCCTTGTAGTTGGATTTTTTTAGTGTAGAGCCATGACATGCCAGCTCCAGCACGGCCTCAGTACCAGTGTACTCACCATTGAGACGAGTAGGAGTTAATGTTGTTAAAACGTTCTGAAAACACTTGTGATCCAGGATTTGAATAAAGTAATCTGAAGAGTGGCTATGGATATCCAGCCCCTTAACCCCTCCATCCCGCTTCCCACAGCCAGCATTAACCTCACATACAGCCAGCAGAGGAATTTGCTGCTGCCTGTGTGCAGCTGCAGAGCTGCTCAGATGCCCCCACGCTCCTGGATCTCTAGATGTTTGTTTCCAGCTACCTGCAGATATTTTGCAGGAAAATTTGCTGCAGGGCAGGAGGGAAATTATTTTTAACTCTTTCCAGACCAGTCTGTAATCTGACAGTGAGCCAGAAATCCTGGATTAATACCAAGGATATCAGGGATTTGTTTAGGAGCTCTCACAACCAAACCCAGGTTGTTGTCCTATGGCACCAAACAAGGCTCTTGGCCTTGGGAGGGTTCAGTGTTCACGTGGCAAGTTGGCCCTTGCTTTGAGTCGTGAGGAGGGAGGGCAGGATTTACCCTCACTGGTCCCCTGGTTGAGCTCAAGTCTGAAAGTTTGCCACTGGAAAAGATGCTGGTCCATGCAGGATGCATGTTTTGAGGGAGACAGTGGTTCCAAATGACACAGTTATCCTCAGGATACAGGTAGTGCCCATCAGTTTGACCCTGAGCCTCTGTGGATCCCAGCTCAGGGTCCATTCCTGGAGGGATCCAGGGCTAGCAAATGCAATCCCCAGCCTGGATGTGCAGTGCAGCTTTCCCCAGACAAACTGTGGACACTTGAACTAATATTTACAGATTGTTATTGATGTGCATAGGAAAGGCAATCTGGCAACAATGGGAACATGATGCGAGATCCCAGACTGACTTGTTCTGTCTTCGACAGAAATTAAAGCCTGGTTCACTTCTCCAGGGAGAAAAACTTTGAGTCTGTTCACCAGGGAGTGAGTGAAACGTCTATAAAAATAATCTTGGGAGAAATTTGAGTGTACTGGGTGGTACTGACATATCAGCACAGCATCCTATTTGTTCTGTTGGACAAGAAAACAGAAATATTTGTATTTTAACTTTATTACAGCTTTGCAGTTAGCAGAAGGCAATGTGTTCTTAGCTGTACAGCCTCATAAAAGCCATCTGCAGCTACACAGATGTGTGTTTTGCTAAAAAAAATCTCAAGTTTATCCATATTGGATCCTTGTGATTGGAAGGTCTTTTTCAGTTACCATTTCTGACCTCTAGTGATGATTCTGGGTGTTAGAAGTACCCCTTCAGTGCCAAGCCCTCCACCGTAGACAGGCTTCAAACCTGTATTAGACAACAAAGGAAAACACAAAGCTGTCCCCCCGTTCTATGTAAGTTCAAGTGGAGCAGTGTCCCCAAATGCATCATTTATCTGTTAAAGACATTTCATGAGTTTATTGTGGCTGACAGGCAGAGCATGAAGCTGAAGAGAGTGTTGGTAGGTACCACTGTCATTGAGGACATGCCCCGCAACCTATTCAGAGAGACTCCTTCTGTTCCCTTGGGATACTCCAGAAGTCACATCTGGCTGTGCATTCTCAGGGAAGCTCTTTCAAGAGCAATACAAAGTTCTTAGTCCACTGAAATTCTAGGGCTAAACTAGTGCAGCTTTACAAGTCAGAGGGTTTAATTTCTCCATGCTGTGCAGCACTGCCCTGCTCCCGGGGACTGTTTGTGGTGTTCTGCACAACCATTGGGAATAAGGGGGACAGCAGGTGATTTGGAGAATTGAGACCACAACTTCAGGGAGTTGCTACTGATTTTTCTGGCTCTCTGTGCATTCAGACAGAATGAGGGAAGGGCACAAATCCCGTTAGACCAGCCAATCAATAAAAAATGGACTCAGACCAAGACACCAGTTTCACAAGGTGAGCCCTGAGCAACAGAACCCCTCTCTGATCCTCAGTGCTGCTGAGTGCAGAGCTGTGCCCAATGCTGCTCCACATTCTCCACAGGGAGATGTAGAGAAACTCCAACATGTGCCAGGTGCTTCCAGCTGCTGGAGATGCTGCCTTTATGGACCAAAAGCATCCAAGTTCCCTGTCCAACTGGTGCAGTCAGGCTCAAGTCCACATTGCACAGCTCTGGGCTCTGCATGATTGTCCTGAGACTTCAGTGATTGTTGGTTCATTTTTTCCCTCAACTGGAAATATATGGAATAATAGTTGTCTGTGTTGCAATCTCCGACAGTAGTGTCTTTGTAGGATGACACCAAAGGTACAGATCTCCTTTAGGCATCTGAAGATGTAAGAATTACTAGGGCAGTATTGGAAAAAACTTGGTACAGTTTCATATCCTTCTCTGAAGGTTGAAAATGTCCCTTGGTTTCTTTTCAATGCTGGAAGGAACCCAGAAGTAAAGTAATCTGACTGGGGCTCTGGGATGAAAGAGTGGTTGAGCCACATTGAATTTGTACATTCACATCACTTAATCACAGTGGATTTAATGATGATCTGTCTCAAACATTTCCCTTGAAGCTTTCTTCTGTATAGGAACCCCTGTCTCCTGGGGAAGAGCTCTCAGGCACTAATAATAGAATGCAGGGGCTGGAAAGTTTCTCGGTTTCTGCCCTTGGCTCTCTATGTCCTGGGACACTTCTCTGCCAGGTACAGAACTCCCCCTGGCAAGGGGAGAAAAGGGGCTCAAAACATGTTAATAACGTAAAACTGTTGGAATATCTAAGTCTTGATTTGATGAAGAACTGCACAGAAGAAATAGCTCCAATAAATACAATATTTTATATTTTATCCATTGGCTGAAGTGTTATACACAACCTCAGCAAACTCAGGCAGTAGCCTCTGAAAATCAGGGTTGGTACTCAGTTTAAACCCTTGTTTCTATTGTTTCTAGCTTCAATAAATACATTCCTCTTGGGTCAAAGCTTTCTGTACTTAGTTCTAGATCAAAGGCCAACTTTCATGTTTGAAAGACCAAGTGAAATGAGTTTTCAACTGTGAATTATTCAAAAGTGGGAGTAGAAAGGAAAGAGACTTTAATGTTGTGATAAAAAATTTTGCCCTCTGGTTACCAAAAATTCCTAATCAACTCCAGCCATCTTTCCAAAGTCTGGACTGAGGGGAACCAGCTCTCCAGTGACTCTCAATTGGCCTGGACTGGCTGAAGTTGCTTTGGGAGACTTTCTCTCCAGACATGGATCAGCTCTAATGGGGTCGGTGCAAACGTGGCACAAAGAGCTGGGTATTGGATTTGCTGTGCTCAGCACCCCTGCACTGAGCTCATCTGCACAGAAGAGAATCTGGATGTATAAACCAAATAGCTCCTTCCTCCAGATGGTGCAAAAGCTCTCCTATCTGAGTGTCTCTACAGGAGGGGCATGGGAGAAACAGGAATGACCCCAAACCAAACCTCCGAGAATGCAAAAATGAGTGGATTTGTAAAAGTCACGTTGCTCTCACTCACTCTACCTTGGCTCTGACTGTGCACTTCCCCCTGCAAGGTAAACCTCAGCTGGTGCTGTTGTTTGCTCTTAGCACACACCATAAAGTATCCAGGATATGAAACCTGGAAATCCAGAGATGCAGGAACACCTCTCTGTTGAAGAGTTTTCTGATTTATACTGCACTAAAGCTGGAATTTCACTCCGGTTTGGTAGCTGACCTCAGTATTTCCCAGTGCCTCTTTCACCAGTGAATGACCCTCTGTCTCTTCTGGATACTTGGCTGGAGACACAGAACTCCCCCAAATTGCCAGAGATGCTGGGTCTGAGTCAGCAGATGCCTGTGGCCATGTCAGACTGGCTGAAAAGCAGAAAAATATGCAAAGCAGATCAGCATGTTGCCCTATCTGCAAGGGCCTGGTTACCTTTATATCAAAAGCCTTAGGGGTAGGTGTCATTTGGAATTTAGACCCAGTCTGGAATAGCCCGGGCCGTTTAGGCACTAGAATGAGTCACGGCAATGCCTTTGGGGCAGCCCTGCT